AATAAATGGATATGAAATATAAACAGGCAAGTCACAGACTACAAATATGTGCAACATCATGTATGAACTTTCCAAACATAATGCTGAGCATAAGAAGCCAGATACAAAGAATACATATTGTATTATTTCATTTATATGAAGGGCAAAAATTTAAAAAGCTAGTGAAAAGGGTTAGAATAGCAGTTATCTTTGGGGTTGAGAGAGGGCATCCAGGAGCCTTGTAGGATGAGGAATGCCTATATCTTATCTGGGTGCCATCTCTCTCTCTCTCTCACACTCACTCTTTTTCTCTCTCTCTCTCACATACACACATACACGCACGATATGTAAGTTGTGCAATTTTTTTTTTCTAACCAACCCAATAGCACAGATACCTTCTTTTAAAACCTAAAAGTCTGGCAAAGATTAACAAGATGGGATTGGGAGGGAGACAAACCATAAGTGACTCTTAATCTCACAAAACAAACTGAGGGTTAATGGGGGGGTGTGGGGGGGTGGGATTATGGACATTGGGGAGGGTATGTGCTATGGTGAGTGCTGTGAAGTGTGTAAACCTGGCGATTCACAGACCTGTACCCCTGGGGATAAAAAGATATTATATGTTTATGAAAAATAAAATTTAAAAAAAAAGTTTGGTAAGTCACTGCTCTGGTCAAAAGTAGAAGAGGGGCACCTGGGTGGCTCAGTTGTTGAGCATCTGCCTTCGGCTCAGGTCATGATCCCAGGGTCCTGGGATAGGGTCCTGGGATCGAGCTTCACATCGGGCTCCCTGCTCAATGGGAAGCCTGCTTCTCCCTCTCCCACTCCCCCTGCTTGTGTTCCCTCTCTCACTGTGTCTCTCTGTCAAATAATAAAATCTTTTTTTTAAAAGATTTTATTTATTTATTTGACAGAGAGAGATCACAAGTAGACAGAGAGGCAGGCAGAGAGAGAGAGGGAAGCAGGCTCCCTGCTGAGCAGAGAGTCCAATGCGGAACTCGATCCCAGGACCCTGAGATCATGACCTGAGCCGAAGGCAGCGGCTTAACCCACTGAGCCACCCTGGCACCCTCAAATAATAAAATCTTAAAAAAAAAAAAAAAGTAGAAGAAAACAGGCCCTTCCATATATGTTCCTGGTGAGACTGCAGATTGGAATAACTTCTAGAGACCAATTTGGCAACAGCTTTCAAAATTACAAAAGCATATATCCTTTGACCAGCAACTCCAGCTCTAAAAGTTTATCCTCAGATATATTCACATTTATGTAAAATAGTATATGTACAGTGTTACAGAGGCAGCATTTTTTGGTAATAGCAATGAGTATGCAGCCATTAAAGAATAAGTAAATTTTTACAATAATAGATATTCTTCAAAGTATACTGTTAAGTGGAAAAACAACTGGAACTAAATAGTGTATACGATAAATTTTATGTAAAAATAAAAATAATTAAAATGTACAAAGTTAGCAAAGGAATCAATTAAATTTGTTAATGAAGAATTCTTATCTGGTTCCTTATTTTAATTCAAGTAACTTTAGTGTTTCGACATTTAAACTGATATTTCCTATTCAACTGGCAAATAGTTATCAAATCTCAAGGGTTTCCTCCTTTCTTATTGAGAATTTTTATATAGTGAATCATTTTTGAAATGTATCAAATACTTTTTTAGCATCTATTGGTTTTATTTTTTTTTTCATTTAATTCATCAATGTTAAATATACTACATTTGCAGGTACTGACCCATCTTTGTATTCCTAGAATAAACCTTATTCGATTATTTTTAAAAAATCAACCCAAAGCATATAAAACTAAAATAGAACAGAACTGGGTTATCTACTTTTCTGACCGTTGGCTATAACATTTTAAATAACAACTATAATTAGGATAGAAGAGGAAGGTCTATCTTCACATAATTATATTTAAATTTTAGAATATTTTTAAATTTTAGAATATTTTAAAAGAAATAAATCTAGACTATAAAGTCCAGAATGATTATAAAAAATAAACATATTTAGCAGAGTAGTATGCCATTAATTAAACTGAAAGGAAGAAAAACACCAAGACGGTTCCAAAGTAAATAAAATATATAAATACTAATTTCAATTTTAGTATCAGTTGCAACTTACAATAAGAGATTTTACTCAAATAATAAAATGATAAACTAAAGGAAGATCTAAATAAAAGGACTGTATTTCTAGCTAGAATACTATGTTAAGATGAGAAATGATTGAAATGTATATATAAAGTATTTAGCACAGTGCCTGGCATCTACTAAAAATTCAATAAATTTTCATTCTCTCTACACCTTCCCTAATCTAATATAAAGTTACAATGCTAGACCAATTAAATCCCTGAAGAACATTTTATAAAATTTGAAGCAAGTGAAAATAAAATTCAGCTTAAGATGTAAAGAGGACACAAATACTAAATAATATATGTTGTTTAATGAACACTGGTAGATTTACCCTAAATATTTTAAAAATACAATGAAAACTACATGATTTTATTTATTTTATTTTTCTTGAAAACTACATGATTTTAAATCAAATATAGAAAAATTGTTCAAACAAAATAGGTTCGACAGCATAAAAACTTAGTTCATACCTTACACCATATATTATTTAAAGTCTGCTGAGTTAAAAAGATAAACACAAAATTCTATAAAATGCTATTAAGAATACTGTAATAGTCCATCCTTCTTTTTTTTTTAAATTAATTTATTTATTTGACAGAGATCACAAGTAGGCAGAGAGGCAGGCAGAGAGAGAGAGGGAAGCAGGCTCCCCAGTGAGCAGAGAGCCCAATGTGGGGCTCAATCCCAGGACCCTGAGATCATGACCTCAGCCGAAGGCAGAGTCTTAACCCACTGAGTCACCCAGGTGCCCCAATAGTCTGTCTTTCTAAAGATAAAATCCTGACTAGTATAGAAATGAAGGTAGTAGAAAGAAGCAGTAGTAGAAATGAAGGTCAAAAGTGAAATGGTAATATTGGATGATTTAAAAAAATCTGCTACACAGTAAATAACAAAAGGAAAGCAAAGGGAAACATTTTTATGACATTCATAACTTATAAATAAGTACTAATTGCAATACAAAGACAACTAATGGAAATATATAGTTAGTACACTAAAAATCTCACAATAAGCCATCAAATTAATTAATTCCTTTAGGATACAATTTATATTCTTTACTATGGCCTTGTATCATCTAGTCCTGCCTGCCTCTCTGATTTCATTTATGGTTTCTCTGCCTGATACCATCCTCCAACCACACTGACCACTTTTCAGTTCCATGAACACACCAAATACTTTCCCTTGGAAACATGAAGCTCTTTTCGTCCTTAGGGCTTTTGCACATGCTGCTCGTTAACTGTCAGGAAAGCTCTTTCCTCACTGTTCACACAGTTAACTCTTTAATCTGTAAGTCTCAGATCTACCCAATCTGATAAGTAAATCCCTATCTAAAGTAAATCCCCCCTATAATGTCCTGTTTCAGTACCCTGTCATCTTCCTTAGAGCACTTCTCATCTTTTGTATTTTACTTGCTCTTGTCACTCTCCCTCATTAGACTTCAATTGTGTGAGTCTCACTCCCCTATATTCCCCAGTACAATGTCCAAAAACAGATGTACTCTATAAATATCTATTGAATTAATGAAGAAAAACTGAAAATTCAACCATCAGATAATAAGGGAAAGCTCTGGGGCGCCTCGTGGCTCAGTGGGTTAAGCCTCTGCCTTTGGCTCAGGTTATGATCTCAAGGTCCTGGGATTGAGCCCCGCATCAGTCTCTCTGCTCAGTGGGGAGCCTGCTTCCCTCTCTCTCTCTCTCTGCCTGCCTCTCTGCCTACTTGTGATCTTGTGATCTCTGTCAAATAAATAAATAAAATCTTAAAAAAAAAAAAGGGAAAGCTCTAATTATATTAGGAATATTTCATAAGTATTTATATATAACTATTCAAATTTGACAGGTATGGAAGTAGTAAAAGAAATATATATATGGAATAATGGTGAATGGAAAAGCAGACCACAAAATAGGATGCACATATACAACAAAGTAAGGAAAGTGTATATACAACCAAATTCAAATTACTGGAAAATAATTCATGGTGATAATAATAGATTATAACAATTAGCAGACTTTTGTAAAGAAAAACAAGTTGCTGACAACAATATGGTATAAAGTCAGTATTGTGGAAAAGTGCTTACAAAATAATATTAAGTGAAAAAAACAGAGCATAGCATTGTATGTACACCACAGTATCTGTTTCTTAGAATGGTAACTGCAGCTAATACTTATTCATTTACCATATGCCAATCATTGTGCCAAGTTTTACATACTTCATCAAATTAATATAGACTGAAAGAAGACACAGAAATAAAAATATGTATTGCATCAAGGCAATAAATGTGCATAAAATGTGACCTTAAAATCTTCTTTTAAGGTTTTAAGCTTTTAAAAATAATATTTTATAATGGGAGATAGCCATAAATAAGTAAGTAAATAAATAGTCAATCTCATCTCAACACGTAATAAATAATGACTAAATAACATTTTGGGTACATGTCTTTACTTTTTTTCTAAAATTCATATAAGCAAAAAATATATGTAAACTCAAAATAGAACCACACTATCCATACTATTTTTAATTATGCTTTTTTTCATTTAATCATATATCATATTCATTTTCCCAGTCTATAGTGGCTTAATAATCAAGTTCCAAAAACAATTTAAACAAGTAACATTAGTGGTGGAGAGACACATCAGTGGACTACACAAAGCAAAAGCAGACCCATGGCCCAGATCCATACTAACCTGCAACTGTTAAGTCAAACATTAAGCATTTCTAAGGATCAACCACTGTATCCATAAAACAAAGCAAATACTGAAAGAGGGTAAAAACTGGTAAGAAGAACCAATGTAAAGAACCAATCTTCAAAGAGTGAAGGAATGAAATACACTTGACAAAAGTGACAGATCCTAACTCCCAAGCATTCCATCACACCGGTAACATACAACTCACACCATAGCCCCAGGAGAAGTCTGAGCTGCCTTCTGTAGAGATCCCTGTGCCTGTATAGCTTGGAAAAGCAGATCTTGAATTCCCAGTGTCAGCTGATGTAAAAGGCGATTCTTGTGTGATGTCAGACTCACTAAGTGCACAATTTGGAAAGAAGAGAGAAAACAGAAAAATTGTTATACTTCCTCAAATTTCTGTAGCAGTAACTACCCAGCAATTTACTAGGTGACAACCATGCAAACAAATATATCCACAGAAACAAAAATAAATGAAGAACTTAACATTTAAGCATCATGGAAAAGTCCTAATTCCTACAGAATTGATGACAGTGATTCTAAATAATTCTAGTCATGGTTTACAACAAATACTTTAGCATTCCACTTACAACATCTACCCTTGAAAACGAAAGACATTTCAGAAATATGAACAGTGATGTCTGAACTTGTATGGCACTTTTATAGATGTAATTCCATTTTATCCTCACAACAACCCGGTGATGTAGAACTCAGTTTACCCCCATTTAAAAAAATTTTTAAGTTATATTTATTTAAGTAATCTCTACACCCAATATGGGGCTCAAACTCATGACCCCAAAATCAAGAGTTGCATGCTCTTTGAACTGTACTAGCCAAACACCCCAATTAACCCCATTTTAAAGACAATCTGAGATTGAGTTCTAAATATTGAAATTAGGTTTTATGACTATAACTTTTCTGTGATACCACACTGCTTCTCAGAACCCTCTTTGAAATTATAGTATGCTGTTTGTTTGTTTGTTTGTAAAAGATTTTATTTATTTGACAGAGAGATCACAAGTAGGCAGAGAGATAGGCAGAGAGAGAGGGGAAAGTGGGCTCCCTGCCAAGCAGAGAGCCCAATGTGGGGCTCGATCCCAGGACCCTGAGATCATGACCTGAGCTGAAGGCAGAGGCTTAACCCACTGAGCCACCCAGGTGCCCCACAGTATACTGTTTCTTAGAATGGTAACTGCAGCTAATACTTATTCATTTACCATATGCCAATCATTGTGCCAAGTTTTACATACTTCATCTCATTTATATTCACAACACCCTTTAAGAAATATAACTATCGTAAGTAACTTGCCTGTTGTTACCCAGCTAATATGTGGCAGAACCAGGATTAAAAATGCTATGTTGGGGCTCCTGGGTGGCTCAGTTGTTAAGCGTCTGCCTTCGGCTCAGCTCATGGTCCCAGGGTCCTGGGATCCAGCTGCATAGAGCTTCCAGCTCAACAGGGAGCCTGCTTCTCCCTCTCCCTCTCCCACTCCCCCTGCTTGTGTTCCCTCTCTCATCGTGTCTCTCTCTGTCAAATAAATAAGTAAAATCTCAAAAACAAAATCAGATGTTAGAGCTCCTAGGTGGCTCAATTGTTAAGTATCTGCCTTTGGGTCAGGTCGTGATTCCAGGGTCCTGGGATGGAGTCAGGCATCAGGCTCCTGCTTAGCAGGGAGCCTATTTCTCCCTCTCCCCTCCCCCTTGTGTTCCCTCTCTAGCTGCCTCTCTCTCTCTGTCAAATACATAAATAAAAACTTTTAAAAAATAATAAAAATCAAATGTTAGACTCCTTCTGAGTCTTGGCTTTTAACTATGTCATAATACTACTTTTCAAGGGTTGTAAGTATGATGTTTCCATTAGCTGTTCCAGAAGGAAAACTGAATGGTGCTGAAAATGTGATAAAAGTTCTTGTTTTGTTTCATTAGTACAAGACTAGATATCAAGCCTAAGCCAAAAAACACTTTTTCCATTATCAAGTGTAATAAGCAAATGAGTACACTTTGTGTTATTACCTTTGGGAACTTGTGTCTTTTTCATGGCTTTCATTGGTAGAAGAAATTTCATCTAGCTGCTCTGGAAGAGGATGATGACTAATAGCATGTTTTGTTATTCCTTTCCTGTGAAAGATTTTTTAAAAAGTTATATTTCCTGTAAAGAAAAAATACATACTTTTCAATAACTTGACTACAGGTTAGTCACCTACTTCCAGCTGCTCTGTGACTGCACTGTACTATATGGTAGCCCCTAGCAACTAGCAGTTAAAATGTGGTTAGTCAGTGTGGTGAGCACCAGATGTTGCATGGAAGTGTTGAGTCACTATACTGTACACCTGAAACTAATATTACACTGTATTTTAACTAACTGGTATTTATATAAAAACTTAAAAAATGTAGTTAGTCAGACATGAGATGTGTTTTAAGTATAGAACACGGGATTCTGATGTCTCAGTACAACAAGAATGTATAATAGAGCATCAATAATTTTATCTTGATTACATGTTAAAATGATAGTATTTTGGATATTCTGGGTTAAAAAATACACTCTTAAAATTAGTTTCACTGCAAATTTAAATTACAGTAAGTTATAACCATAAACCTTTTAGAACAGTTAACACAAAATACGGTTATAACATCCAAGGTGAGCGATGATTTGGAGAAACTAGATGCCTCATACACTGCTTATGGAAATGTAAAAAGGTACAGCAACTCTGGAATAGTCTCATAGTTTCTCTTTTTTTAAAGGTTTTTTAAAAAATTTATTTATGAGAGAAAAAGAGAAAGAGAGCATGGGGAGGAACAGAGGGAGAGGGACAAGCAGGCTCTGCACTAAGCACGGAGCCCATCAAGTTGGATGTGGGGCTTGATCCCAGGACCCTTGAGATCATGACCTGAGCTGAAACTTAACTGATTGAGTAACCGAAGAGCCCCAGTCTCACAGTTTCTAATAAAATGTGTACCAATGTCAGTTTCCTGGCTTTGACACTACACTACTTACATAAGTTGTCGTCATTGGGAGAAGGTGGAAGGTTCATGGGATTCTCTGTATGATTTCTGTAATAGTGAGTCTATAATTATTTCAAAATAAAAAGTCAAAAAATTAATTTCATCTGTTTCTACTGTTTTTTCACGTGATTACCTGAAGATTTAAAATTCCATATGTGGCTGTATTATATTTCTATTGGACAGAGCTGCTCTAGAGAGTTCAACTTGTACATTAGATTAAACTAAGGGACCAATTATTATATGTTCCAGTCTCAATCATCTATAGGAGACTTTCCTCCCCCACAAAATTCTGCAATAAAATAAGTTTAGGGAACATGATAAGCTAAACAAAGTACATAGGTCTCTTTAGAGTCTTCAGTTTGCAAATGTATATTATAAATCTCTAATACTCTTACCTCATAGGCAAGGAAAGTGAAGCACAGAGAGATTAAGTAACCTGCTTAAGGTCATGTCTATGAAATGATGGAGCCAGGATTCAATTTCAAGTACTCTGGCTCTGAGGCTTCTCAAAACAAATGAATAATTTGAGATTTTAGCTAATGGAACCATTTTTGTATATAAAGATAAAGCTAAGGGCACAGTCAGCAGAGCTTGTACTTGAAATTATTTCTCAAATGGTGGGGATGGATTTGTGCAGAGCTATTTGTACTGCTCTCATTCAATGATCCTACAACGAAAAACTTGTCTTTGAGACAGTGGTAGTAAACAGAAATGTGGATTCCAGCTACAAAAAAGAAACATAAGTCTGTCAAAGAAATCTGACCATGAAATGATGATTAGATAATACCAAAGAAATACTAAATTTGATCATAGCATTGTTTTCATGTAAGAAAATACTGAGGCACCAGGGTAGCTCAGTTGGTTGGGCATTTGTCTGTTTGCCTTTGGCTCATATTGTGATCCTGGGGTTCTGGAATCTAGCCCTGCATTAAGCCCCACATCAGGCTCCCTGCCCGGCAGAGAGTCTGCTTCTTCCTCTCCTGCTGCCCCTCCCCCTGCTCGTGTTCTTTCTCTCACTCAAATAAATAAAATCTAAAAAAAAGAAAAGAAAATAGCTATAATTTTTAGAGATGCACACTAAGGTATACAAGGGTTAAATGGTAAGTGTCTGGGGTTTTGCTTTCTTATTTACAGACGATGGACAGAGAGGCTGAAAAAAGATAAGATAGATGAAGCAAATATATCAAATTTTTGATAATTGTTGAATGTAGGTGATAGGTGGTTCATTATATTATTCACTATACATGTATGTTTGAAATTTATCACTTTTTAAGTTTTAAGCTTTATTTTGAAAATTTTTTTTTTTTTTTAAACTCTTTTCAATATTTGTAATTTGGAACTATTAGGGAGAAAACTAAAGTTCCTTCTTCAAAGCAAAATATTCTAACACCTAAAGTAAAAATTGTTTTATTTTACTGTCATTTAGATACATATAATCCCCTTGTGTCTTCATTATTCATATCATCCTGACTCCTCTAGAGAATCATCTTTGAAGAGAGTTGCCTTTAGAGAATAGAGAGTATCAATCAAATCAACAATAGAGAACAAGTAATGTAACTATATTGGAGTAATTTTTTCCACAAATGATTTTTTTTTTTTACTCTCAGAATGGTCAGAATAATTATAAAAGCAGATTTTTAGCTAACTCCTGTTCCCTTTACTTTCTTTTTTCTACTTCCTAAAAAGCTTATTATCTGAATTGCTACTGTGTAGATATCCTATTACTTAGTAGATAATGAGCTTCTGAAAGGCAAGGAAGGATCACAGATTTTCTTTGTATGGCTACTGTACCAAGTAAAGGTGGGAAAGGACAGGAAATTACCAATCACTGAGGATCTACTATGTGTCAAGCCCTGTGCCATCACTTTAGATAGGCTTTTAGAGAAAGTCTTACTCCTATATTACAGAAATGGATGCTCAAATATTTATTAATCTGCTGAAAAGTCACATGACTAGAAAAGAGCCTAGCCAGAAACCCAGATTGACAGAAGATCCCATGCTTGCTATTACCATGTATAGTTAGTATTTACTTTTTAAATATATGGTTGCTAAAATTACATAGCTCCAAGGGGGGTGGGGGGGAGTTGGAATTTGAGGATTAAAAAGCCCAAGCTCAAAACCTATTGGTTATATAATCTTAGGATGTGTAACCTTTCTAATATTTCATGTTCTGAAAAACTGAAAGATAATCATACCCATCGTACAGAGTTGTTTCAAGGATCATGATGTTAAAGTCTTTTTGAAAGTATAAGGCATCAACAAATATACAACTTTATCATTACTTGCTAATTACAACACTTCACCAGGGGTGGGAGGTGGGTTTTTAAGCTTAAATATTTGCTCTCTAGAGCAAAATTATCCTTAAGGATTCTGAAGTTTAACCTCAGAGGTGGGGAAGCAGTATACATAACGATTATGACCAAAGCTTCAGGGTCAGACTGACACCAGGTTTGTGCTCCACCACTTTCTGCCTGTATAATCTTTGGCATGCAACAATGTTAAATCTGGGATCTTTATTTGTAGAATGTACAAAATAATAATCCCTATTCTGTATCCCTGCTGATAGGATTAAGTGAGCTAATGCATATGATCAGCTTTGCATTGTGCCTGGCACTAGATAAACTTTTCTCTAGCACTCAGCTATTAGTAACTTCTCGATTTGTCAATGCCCGTCCGTTGACAGGCATGAAGCACTGAGGAAACTACAAATGCCGCAGGGGGGCCAGTCCCTGAGCTCAGGAAGTGTAGCCCAAGAGGGCCAAGTCCTAAGACAGCACAAGTGACATGCCCTTAGCTGGAGATGGAGGCAGACCGGGCAGCATCTGACAAGTCTGGGAGGCGAGAATTCCAATGAAAATTTTCCTTCCCCCGCCCTGGAAACGGAAAAGTGAGAAGCACTAGTTGGGAAGGGCCCCAACCAGAGCGCCGGAGACCCGCCTCAGCCTCCCCCGGCCCGGGCTAGTCTAGCAGAGCAGACCACTCACAGTTCCAAGCTCTGAGGCACCGCCTTCCGAGTGTATCTGGAGATCATCCTCCTCTTCCTCCTCTGCCGCGGAGGGGGCGGGCACGCCAGGGTGGGGGCCTCCGGACCTGGCCCTCCGGCCGGCTCCGACCCGGCCCCCTCCCGCCACCTTCCGGCCCCGTCACGCCCCGTCGCCTAGACTCCGGACCGCCGCCACTCCCTGGGTCCCCACCCCTCCAGTCTTCCGCCCTCCCTGCTTCCTCGCAGGGGCGGAAGTGACGAATGCACCGAGGCACCCGCGTAATGCTCCCGTGGACGCACAGCAGTGACGCCACCGGGGTTCCGGGGCCGAGCGCGTCTTTCAGAGCTTCCGCTGGCCTCAGGTAACCGCGAGCCGTTTGGACTGACCTTGGGCAAGGCTTTGGCAAACGGCTACTGGCAGCTCCCGACCGGCTCACGCGGTGGGAGGGGCGGTCCAAGAAAGTTCCGCAGCGGAGACGCGTGGGGGAGGCCCGAGAATCGTAAGCGGAATTGGCTTCTCTTTGTTGAATGGAGGGAGGGAGTTTAGTCGGAGTGAAGAGCACTAGACTCCCGCTCAGTCCTCGACTGCGTGGTCGCTTCTGTATGTGCCAGTTTTCTCACTTGTACAGCAAGGAGTTAGCCTGCGTGACCTCAAAGTCCCTTCGAGTTCTGACACAGTTTCTTCATAAAATGTGCTTGGCATTATGGGTTGGGTGGATGGAATTATCTGTCCCTCTGGGTTGAGAAGCCAAGTGATGATTTGGACAGACTGGTTAGAAGATGAAGGTTCCTTTCGACCTCGTTTTATTAGCCCATGAGAAAACCGAGTAAGAATCGAGCTCGAATTGTGCCTTAGAATGGACCATCCAGTACAGTTCCTCCCTTTCCCAAGCCTCATCTGGCCGCAATAGTAAGCGAGTACTTTTGTTGTAAGGGAAAAACCCTTAGAACCTAGAGATACCTACCGCTTCTTAACATACCGGAGTTATGTACCACCACCATCACCACCACCACCACCACCATCCCCGAAAAAGGGGCAGTTTTAGGACAGCTGCACGATAAAGAACCATGCACAAATTATTTTGGTGTGAGATGATAGGACATGAATGTTTTGTGGTTTTGGGTTCCTCTATGCCCTTCAACATTCATAAAAAGAGATTTAAATTCTTCAGTGAGGGAGATTGCCCTAAAGAGCTTTTAAATAAAAACAATTTAAACTGGGGGAGAAATTTAGAAGTGAAAGAGTAACACTCTCATTCTACAGTTGAGGAAGAAGCCCCAGAAAGAGAAATTGAGGTGCTCAAAGTGACAAAACTGATTAGTGGCAGAACTGGGACTTTTGATAGTATTTAAACATAAGATGTTACTGTTGTGCTTCTCAAAGTGTGTTTCACACACAAATGTTAGTATGAGGGTAAACTTTTTTTTTAATGTATGTTTTTCAAAACGTTTTTTATTTTATTCTTGCATGCTATTAGTTAATTTGGGAATGTGATACTCGATTTCCATTTACTGTATTATGTCAGAAGTTCCTTTAATATAATTTCAAGTATGAAAACATAATCTTAAGTATAAAACATCATTACAAGAATATTAAATAGGTGTTACTATTCATACTTGATCAAAAAATTAAATGATAGCATCTGGATAACTGAATTTTGGAAAACAATGGAATCATGTCAAATAGTTCAGAGAATTGAATTTTACTTCTACATTATTCTATGTGATTTATATTATTGAAACTTTAAATGTAGTTTTCAAAGAAGAATGGAGGAAAATATGAAGCTTGCTACAGTGGAAGACACTGTGGAGTATCACCTATTCCTGATACCAGATGAACCAAGAGACCCAGAAAAACACAAAGAGATTCTTCAAAAGTATATTGAGAGGATAATGACTCATTTTGCACCTTTGCTGGTCCCCTATATCTGGCAGAATCAGCCTTTCAATCTCAAATATAAACCTGGGAAAGGTAAGGCTCTTTTACTTATTTTGATGTGATACGTGTGACTTCTGAGTCTGACAGCAGTGATCTATAATAGTCCATAGTTCTCTCAGTGTTGTAAGGAGATTTATAACCTGAACTTTTTTGATTAGTGATGCTTGCCTATATTTAGTTAGAACCATAAACTTACCAAAAAAAAATTTTTTTAATTAGTTTGATGAAAGCTTTCTAATAGTAATTACCTTGAGAACTAATATATACTCAACATTATTAGGCTATGGCTGTTTTTTGGAACTTTACTCTTCTGTGCTATAGTATATCTAGGTACCTATACTAAACAGGTTCAGGCATCTGGCTTCCTTAACCATAGCTTCCATTAGTGGTTACTCTATATTCCTCGTTCTTGATCATGTGTTCAGTAGGCTGCCTTGTTTGACATAGTTGTGAAACTATGTGGCTCTGCCTGGCTTATAAAGAGAAATAATTGGGCTTATGGCCATTATTTGCTACTCAGAATCATTTTGAAGTTGCTTCACTGCTTCTCTGTGTTGTTCTTGCTTGATATGTGACTTCTGGCCAAATATGGCACTTTTTCTCATCATTTCATATAGCTTTAGTGAAATGAGGCACGAATAGGTGACCACGGCTCTTATTCATGCAGGGTCTTCTTTCAGATCAGGAGTCTGGCATCTTGATACTGTCAGTCTAGGTCTCAGTGTAGTGTTTATCTGTTATCTTTCGGCTGGCAGTTACCAGATGTGTTCCCTGTCGTTAAATTTATTGAACCCTTATTCAGTGAAAGACATGTGATATTTATTGGCAAGAACATCATCACATTAGCACAGCATGCTAAAACCGACTCCTTATCTTTTTCCTAGAAAATAATTTTTGCCCAATGTTTTCTTGTCTTGCTTAATGATGATGTTATCTACCTAGTTATTCAGTTTGTTAATAATTCAAAATTACACTCAACTGCTCACTTGACCATGTTCTATCAAGCACTAAATCCTAGTGTGGTTACTCCTAAAGTAAGACCCCTTCTGTACATTTGTTTGGCTACAATCTAGACCCTATTTACCTCTTCATCTGAAAGACCACAGCAGCCACCTGAATAACTTCTGGTTCCTGTATCTCCAGTTCTTCTCTCACACTGATGCCAGTGATCTTTGTAAAACACAAATTTGATCACATCAGTCTTTTGCCCAACATCCTTCACTAGTTACCCATTGCTTCTGGATAAAGTTCAAATTGAAGTTTAATATATAAGGTAGATAAAAGTAGACACTAATTGGAGCTTCTCTTAGTTGAAGAAATTTGAGAGATCTGGGGTGCGGAGAAGAGTTGGTTGGGCTGTTCTTCTACTTTTTTTTGCTATGGGAGCTTTTGGGACACTTCACAATGTGCTTGTTTGACCTTTAGTCTGTTAATGTGGTTGGTTACATTGATTGATTTTCATATGCATTACATTGCATTCCAAGAATAAATTCTACTTGATCATGGTGTATAACCTTTCAGTGTGTTGAATTCAGTTTGCTAGTATTTTGTTGAGGATTCCTGCATCAGTACACCAGGGATATTGGTCATAGTTTTCCTGTATTGTCTTTGGCTTTAGTATGAGGGTGATGCTGTCCTCCTAAAATGGGTTTGGAAGTGTTCCCTCCTCTTCAGTTGTTTTTAAGAGTTTGAAAAGGATTGATGTTAATTCTTCTTTAAATGCTGGTAAAATTCTCTAGTGAGCTTTTCTTTGTTGGGAAGTTTTTGATTACTGATTCAATGTCCTTTACTAGTAACAAGTCTGTTCAGATTCTCTATTTCTTTGTGATCCAGTCTTTTTTTTTTTTTTTTTTTTAAGTTTTTATTTATTTATTTGACAGACAGAGATCACAAGTAGGCAGAGAGGCAGGCGGGCGAGGGGGTGGGAAGCAGGCTCCCTACTGAGCAGAGAGCCTGATTTAGTATGGAGGGGGGCCTGGGATACTGACCTGCGTGGAAAGCAGAGGCTTTAACCCCCAGAGGCACCCAGGCGCCCCAGTGATCCAGTCTTGATAGGTTGTGTGTTTCTAAGAATGTACTCATTTCCTCTAAGTTTTCCAGTCGGTTGGTCTATAGTTGTTCATAATGTTCTCTTATAGTCCTTTTTATTTCTGTAGTATAGGTTGTAATGTCTCCTCTTTCATTTCTGAGTTTAGTTACTTACATCTCCATTTTTTCTTACTGATCTAAGATTTTGTCAACTTTGTAATGTTTCAACAAACCAAATCACTTTGTTTTTTTTTTTTCTATTTTTCTATTCTCTGTTTCATTAATCTCTGTTCTAATCTTTACCATTTCCTTCTTTCTGCTAGCTTTGGATTAGCTTTTCTTGTTCTCGTTCCTTAAGGTTAAAGTTAGGTTGTTGATCTGAGATCTTTTATAACTATAAACTTCTTAGCACTGCTTTCTGTATGTTACATGTTTGTTTTCATTTGTCTCAAGGTATTTTCTAATTTCCCTTGTAATTTCTTCTTTGATCCATTGGATTGTTTAAAAGTGTATTAAGTTCTGCATATTTTTGAGTGTTGCACTTGTTTAAAAAACTTCTGCCCCATCTAAATCTAGCTTCCTGATATCCCCGGAACACTATTATGGTCTGCCATGCTTATATATGTTTGCACATGCTATTCTCTCTTTCTGGAAAACCTACCCCTGTCATTCCTCCAAATGAGCATAGCTCAGATATCACATTATTTATGCTCACATCCCCCTCAGTGCATACATCTCTTCATCTTGTTTTGAGATGGCATGGCGGTCCATCTCCTGTTGTCTAGACCCTTGGGTCCTCACAAGCAGGCTTCTTATATCCTGTTCAGGATTACAACCCCAGTCCTGTATGGTACCTACAGCATGGTCAGTCAGTCAATGTTTGTTTATTTGAATGATTACTTGTATTTTTATGTGCACTGACAAATTTATTTGGTTATATGATTGCTTTTCTCTTGTTTTTAGGAGATGTTCCTGCTCATATATTTGGCATGACAAAGTTTGGGGATAACATTGAGGATGAATGGTTTATTGTTTATATAGTAAAGCAGATTACAAAGGAATTTCCAGAGTTAGTAGCAAGGTATTAGTTATTTTAATAATCTAAAGGAATTCTCTTGTTGAGACTGACTACATTTTTATCCATTTAGTAAATTTTTTTTCGGTAATCTGGTGGAGACTGTACGAATTTGAGACATAGATTTTGAAAGTGACTTTGTGTTTTCTTCCTTTTCTTTTGT